ACTGTCCAGGCTCATATTTATTTCCATAGCTCTAAAATATGATACTTAGGAACTAGATTCTCAATCTACCAGGCCAATACTCTTGGCTGAACACATTCTGCAGTGGGGTCTCCAGGAGTCCTGACACCCCTCTTCCATCTAGCAGTGCAATCCTGTGCCAACTATAGCTGTGCGACCTTCTAGTCCGAGGTCATCAAACTACAACCCAGGGGACTGAATCTGGCCTACCCCTGTTTGAGTCCAGTATGACCAGAACACAAACACACTCACTCCGAACCTGTTGTCTGTGGCTGCTTGCACACAGCAGCAGCAGAGTTGAGTCATATGCTATAGAGATCGTCTGGCTACACAACCTTAAATGTCAGTTATGTGACCTTCACAAAATTTCCCCCAAGTCTGCTGCAAATACACAAAGTGTGCACACAATTGCCCCATCTAGAGATCCACAGCCAAGGAGAAGCGTCAGCTGGCAAGTCCCACAGGATCTCACAGGAGGGACAAGAAGGCTCCAGAGATCCCCTAAGAGGTCCCCATCATCACTGTCAAATATACATCAAGAAGACTGGAAGAGTTGGTATAGCTGGAGAGTTTCCAGCTCCCACCAAGTCCCAGCAGTCCTGCAGCCCAGTTATGAAATAAACACACAGACGCTTATATTATTTAAACTGTTTGGCCTAATGGCTCAGGCTTCTTGTTATCTAGTTCCTATATCTCAAATTAGCCCATATCTGTTAGTCTATAAATTGCCACGTGGCTCCTGGCTTATTGGTACCTTACATCTCACTTTTCATGGCAGTGGGTGGCAGCGTCTCTCTGCCACCACCTTCCACCTCCCCACATTCTCCTCCTTCTTGTCCCTCCTACTCTATCCTTCCTGCCTGGCTACTGGCCAATCAGCATTTTATTTATCAATCAATCATAGCAACATATATTTACAGCATACAGGACATCCGACAGCAAGCTGGAGAGATGGCTCAGTGGTTAAGAGCACTTGTGGCTCCTACAGAGGACCCAGGTTTAAATCCCAGCACCTACATGTGGCCTACAACCATCTATAACTCCAGTGCCAGAGGATCTGACACACTCTTCTGGCCTCCATGTGCAGCAGGCACACATGAGGTGCACAGACATACATGCCAGCAAAACACTCATACACACACAAAAATAAAAGTAAATCTTTTCTTCTTAGTGAGATAAAGAGACTGGGTTCCTCCTGGACCCTCCAGGCCACCCCAGCCTCTGCCTCAACCCTTTCCTGTTGAGATAATTGAGACCCAATGTTGGGGAATATTATTTTAAGGTGTGTTACTTTTGTTTATTTTGCATTTGTTTACCTCTGTGAAACTGTGATACTTTGCCTATAAAACACCTGATGCTCTAATAAGGAACTGAATAGCCAATAGCAAAGCAGGAGAAAGGATAGGCGGGGCTGGCAGGCAGAGAGAATAAATGGGAGGAGAAATCTGGGAGGAAAAGGAAGAAGGAGGAGGATTCCAGGGGCCAGTCACCCAGCTACACAGCAAGCCCCAGAGTAAGAAAGAAAGGTAAAGCCGGGCAGTGGTGGCACACGACTTTACTCCCAGCACTTGGGAGGCAGAGGCAGGTGGATCTCTGTGAGTTCGAGGCCAGCCTGGACTACAGAGTAAGTTCCAGGAAAGGCACAAAGCTACACAGAGAAACTCTGTCTCAAAAAACCAAAAAAAAAAAAAAAAAAAAAAAAAAAAAGGAAAAGAAAAAGAAAAAAAGAAAGAAAGGTATATAGGAATAGAGAAAGATAAAAGCCCAGAGGCAAAAGATAGATAGGGATAATTTTAAGTTAAGAAAAGCTGGCTAGAAACAAGCCAAGCTAAGGCTGGGCATTTATAATTAAGTATAAGCCTCTGTGTGTGATTTATTTGGGAGCTTGGTGGTGGGCCCTCAAAAGAGCAACAACCCCTTCTCTTGAATCAACCAAGAGCTAAGGTTGGAATAATATCCAAGGAAAACCCAGAGAGGTAAAAACAGGGTAAGACATCAGAGAGCTCAGATGGACTTGCTTACACAGAGGACTAGGTTGCTATTGGAAGGTAAATGTCACCCCAGCCAGCTCAACAAGGCCTGCCTTTGGGTCCACAGCCCACAGCCTCCCATCAGCCACACAGCAACAATCTTGGCTGGCCCAAATGCTGGATCCCCACTCAGCATGATATTCAAGTACATCCTGCAACATCCTCTTTCTCTCAGATCCTACCTCACCAGATTAAGTTGGCATCCTTGTCCTATGATCACTTGGGTGTGGTCCAGTGCATTCCTTCCCCATAATGAACTACCTGCCGGGTGACTCCTCAAAAGGAGCATTTCTACACTCACCCATCTTCAAGGGAGAGAAGCAGATCTTCCCCTGAGCTCCAGAAATGCTTAGGTAGGCTTCTATTCCAGGTGTCACACTTAGAGCCTTTTTCTTAAAGACAAATTTTGTATACTCCAGACCATTGAGCTCTCAATAGGATGAGTTTTAAGAATCAATATGTTGCCTGATCACTTTGTAATGTCAAAAGCATCATTTTAATTGTCTGTGTCTCTATTTTCTCAAAGTGGAATATAATTCTAACCTCACAAGTGCTTGATATTGTGACTCGCATGGGATGAATGGGGTTTGAACAGATGAGGGAAACAGCATTCCCACCACCAACATGAGAGTCATCTCTCACGTGCCCCTTTCGGAATAGAGCTGGGTTTCTCCCTGTTATCCTAATTCACTTCATTTACCCATTTTTATACCATGTAAATACCTCTCATTTTACTCCATTCTCAAGGCAGCAGTGAGAAGAAACAGACATTGCCATGAGTTGGATGTGCACCTGGTTATGTTCTATTGAAATATAAAATTTTCAGGATAGTCTACATCCATGCTTTCTTACCTCCATCCAAAGTAAGTCCCATGTATTGAGCTGAATTTACACCTATCGATCAAATGCATATGTGCCTGATTTGCATAAGAAAATGGCTGGACAGGAAGATTTAAATGCCAGGGTGAGTCTGCCCCAAGCACTTCCTTTAACCTGCAGACTCATTTGAGCTCTTAACCTTGGTTTTCCCAGCTACAGCAACAGGGATTTGGACTAGATTCTATCTGTCTACTTTAGAAGATGTACAGTTTGAGAAAATGGTTAAGGAGCCTAAAATTTGGAACCAGTTTAATCACTGAAGAACAAAGCTTGCAGCTTCCCAGAAACCAGAATCCAACCTTCAGTTTGATTTATTTGTAATGCAATCCTTCCCATTGCTGTTCTATTCCCTAACTGCATCCAGACAACACTTTCTCTGGAGCTACAAGAACTGGGCATTTCTCTAATAAACTTGAACTCAAAAACTGGCACTTCTGGTCACATACCACCATGTCAAATCTATGAAATAACACTAATAATCTATGAAGAAACCCAAAACAGGTGATGTTATCTTGAATCTAACCCTAACCTTCAGGCATCTCATTATGTAAGCCAATAAGTCCTCCCACCTCCCTTTACAGTGGTGTGCTTACAAAGAAAACTGGTTGACACAGATCTAGACTGACTGGAGTCCAGCACCTGACATTCGAGAGGTACCTGCCAGTCAATACCATCTTGCTAGTCATATTCTACCCAGGACTCATGGCCATACTCTACCCAGGAATCATGGCCATACTCTACCCAGGAATCATGGCCATACTCTACTCAGGGGTCATAGCCACACTCTACCCAGGGCTCATGGCCATACTCTACCCAGGAATCATGGCCATACTCTACTCAGGGGTCATAGCCACACTCTACCCAGGGCTCATGGCCATACTCTACCCAGGAATCATGGCCATACTCTACCCAGGAATCATGGCCACACTCTACTCAGGGGTCATAGCCATACTCTATTTAGGGCTCATGGCCATACTCTACCCAGGCCTCCAGTGAGTTTCTCTGGAGACTAAGGCTCTGTCTTCTTCCTTTTGAACTCACCTATGGCACAAACTACTCAGCACACAAAACCCTTTTCTTGAGCTGATAGAACATTTTGGATAACTGAGAATCAAGACAAATCTTTTTATTTGAGATGTTAAGTCTTTCCCTACACAAAGATCTCACTGAGCTGCCTTGAATCTCCATCAACCAGCAAGTCTGCATTTATGATGTGGTCTATCCATCTACCCACCCAAAGGAACATCATTCAACAAGAGAAGAATCATATGACATGCGGGTGGACCTCTAAAATGTTTTGCTAAGCAAAACAGGAAAATGTTATGTGGTCCCATTTGTATCAATGTTCAGAAAAGGTAAATCTACAGGGACAGGGTAGAGCAATGGTCACTGGAGTGTAGGAAACAGGGACAGACTTAACAGTAAGTACGTGTGAGACACAGAAGAGTGACAAAAATGGTCCAGAACTAACCATGTTTGTACAAGTTGTATATTTACTTTTCAAAAACTCATTGAGGGGCTAGAGAATCAGCTAAGGAGTTAAGACACTGACTGCTCTTCCAGAGAACTTGGGTTCAATCCCCAGCACCTACATGATGGATTACAACCATCTCTAACTCTGGTTCCAAGGGATCTAATGCCCTCTTCTGGCTTCCATGTGCACTGTACAAATGTGATACACATACATATATGCAGTCAAACATCTATTAACATAAAATAAAAAAGTAAATAAGCCTTTTTTAAAAAAAATCATTGGATTGTGCACTTGAAGTGGGTGAATTATATGCTGTGTAAAAATATAACTGAATAAGATACTTTTAATTCTCAAATTCACAGGCCTGGCCTACGGCTGCTCATCAATGATAAGAGCACATACTAGGCACATGTGAAGCCCTCTATCCTAACACCAAAAATTTTAAATTACTTTAAAAAGTAGAATTCACAAAAAAATATATCCAAAATCCTTCTCAGATCATCGGACTGTACCCTTTATCTCTTAATTGCTGGAGGTTTTACATTTTAGATGCACAAGTTTCAGGTGTGGGCTGAGTTCATAAATCCTGCAAGACTGACCCGGAAGCTTTGGGGGTTTTTAATGGTGACATCTCCACTCTTAACCACCTGCAGGTACTCCCACTTGTGTGTGCCAGGTTTTTCTTGAGAGTGTTTGTCGTGATCTCTTCCATCTCTTTCCAGAGCTTCCTGAAAGAAAAGACAGAGACTCAGAGCAGCATGGCAACCTCAGCTAGCAATTCTGTCTGTCTGTAGCAAATAGTAGAAGCCCTGTGTTTGTATGCTGTGTGGAATCCTGGGCACTTGTGTGTCATTTGGGAAGCACTGGTGGCCTACTGCCAACCACCTCCAAACAGAGCAGCTACTCAAGCCCAGGGCCAATGAGTCAAGTTTGTGTTTACAGAGGAAATGAATACTTAGAGCAGATCAAAGGTCCAATGTGATAATTAGAAACACGCCTTTCACTGTTCAGCTGCCAAGGATCCCTCCCTCCAAGATGCAGGAAAGTCACCAGGCACTGGTTTCAACCAGCCCCACACTCCATCCCGAGGCACTGGACTGGCTTTTGTTTCTCTGCTGTGGAATCACACAAATGTCTCACTTCGCCCTATTTGTTCTTCTCAGGTTTCTGACCTCTCCACATCCTTTCACACCCCCAGTGCCTTTTATCTGGTGCTAGTCTCCCACCCAGAGCTCTCACTGCCTGCTGATAGAACACTCTCTGTGCTCCCCTTTGCCCTTAGATCCCAGGGTGGGCCTGCCCTACCCCACCTCACAGCAGCTCTGTGTATGGTCACACAGTATCCTTCAGCATCGTCTTTGCTGCCAACATACTCTAGTCCCACTGGCCTCTTAATTCACAGAGCAAAGAGCAGCACCCTGCTTGACTTGTCCCTCCAGTTCTCACCAGTGCCTGCCCTGTCTCAAAACCCTTTTGTGTGTGACTCTGTCCCTCAGCCTTAGAAAGCAGGAAAGGGAACCACAGTGCAACATCGCCTGACTTACATGTATGAGATCCACAAATCCCACCTGCTTTGACCTATCTGCAAGGCACACATATCTCTGCACATTGAGTCCTGACTGATGAAGCTTTTTCTTTACTTCTCCACGGGCTAGATGGAGGTGAGACAGGAGAGCCCAGAGCCCTGGATACAATTTCCTTCCTCCTTGATCAACTCCTTTCCATGTCTGACACCCCCTCTCTCTTTTGCAGGGTCTCCCAGCAGACTCAAGTGCTCCCAGCAGACTCAAACATGCAGCACACAGTCACATGGGGAAGAGGTCAAGATGGAGACTGAGACAAGGAAGTGGAGGGTTGTGGGAACCTGAAGGTGGGGTTGCAGCCACTTCGGCACACGGCCTCCCTGGGTGTCCATCCTGTGATTTTTTTTCTCCAGCCACCATTCCTAAGGGTTCAGCTCAGATCTGCAGCTCAACCACAAGCCATTCCCGCCTCTGTCTCCCCTGACCATGTGCATTCTCTCCAAACAAGTATATTTGCTGCCCTTTCTCTTTATTTTGTCACTCATGGTCACCTGACAACATTACCCACCTGTCATCTGTACACACACACTCGCGTCCCCTGTTTTATCACCATGATCTGTCTCCACAACAGTTCGTGGAGAGTCCCACCTCTACTCTTCTGGCTTTTCACATTTCTGAGTCATCTCCTGATCTTGCCAACTTCCTTGTCACTTTTAGGGCTCTGCATTGACAGAAGAGTGAAGAGTCTGTCTTTTATAAAAGTAGCAGAATACAAAAATCAACATAAAGTAGCTTTTCAAACTATAAGGAACTTACAGTGCAGAAGCCAGGGAAGTAACCCCATTAAAGCGGTTTTTAAAAGACTAAGAATCAGTCTAACCAGGGAGTCAGAGGCATTGGAAGACAGACTGGGAAAACGGTTTATGAAAATGACCTACAGGTTCAATGTAATCCCCATCAACGAAACTTCCAGAGGGGAACACAGGGGATGCCCTTCAAACAGATGCAGGCAAGAGCTTTCTGGGAAGGACTCTAGCAGCACAGGGAACAAACCCAAGAACAGACAAGTGGGATTGCATTGAATTAAAAACTCTACAGAACAAAGGAACAACAAACAGAGTAAAGATAGTGTGTTGATTGTTTTTATCAACTCGACACAAGCCAGAGTCATCTGGGAACAGGGAACCTCAACTGAGAAAATGCCTCCATCAGACTGGCCTACAGGCAAGTCTGTGAGGCACTGTCTTGATTAATAATTGTGTGGAAGGGCCCAGTCCACCATGGGTGGTGCCACTCCTGGGCAGGTGGTCCTGGGTTCTATAAGAAAGTAGGCTAAGCAAGCCAATGAGCAGGATTTCTCTGTGGTCTCTGCTTCAGTTCCTACCACCAGGTTCTTTCCTAGAGCTCCCAACTGGCCTGATTTCCCTCCGTGATGGACTGTAAGCTATAAGGTAAAATTATCCCTTTTCCTTTTCGGGTTGCTTTGTCATAGTGTTTATTACACCAGTAGAAAGTTAACTAGCCTGCAGATGAGGAAGAAATTGTGCCAACTATATATCTGACAAGAAATTAATATTTAGGCTCTAAAAAGAAATTCAAAATTTAAGTAACCCCTCCCCAAATCACCCAATTAATAAGAGGACTAATGAACTGAAGAGTCAAGGAAGAAATACTGATGGACAGTAAATATTTGTAAAAATGTTCAACATCCTAAACCATCAGGACAGTGCAAATTAAAACTGCTTTGAGGCTATATCTCACCCAGTCACAGTGGCTTTTACAGAAAAAGGAGAAATAAAGAAAAGAAAGAAGTGAAATGAAAAATACAGTGAATGTTGTACGGACTTGGACAAGGAGGAACCCCAGATACTGCTGGGGGGAGTGCAAAATGATTCTGCCAGTGCATGGAAATCAGCACTGATATTCTCAAAAGACAAAATGTACAAGTACTGCATGATTTAACTATTCTACCCTTGGCATAGACGCAAAGGATTCTAAATCAGCGCACTACAGGAGCACTTGTCCACAATGTCTATTTTACATGTCTGTTTTAAAAGATGAGTCACCTTGGAGAGATGCTCAGTTAAAGAAAAAAAATCAGGTAAGGCACGGATAGCTTCAGGGAGATACTGTGTCCGGGGTAGAACCTTTTGGTTTGTTTCCTATGTGTTTAGTGTTTGGGAGTTGGGGTTAGTTGTGATGGTGGTGGCGGTGGTATGTGTGTGTGTGTATGTGTGTGTGTGTGTGTGTGTGTGTGTGTGTGTGTGTGTGTGTGTGTGTACACATGCAAGTGGAGGCCAGAAGTCACCCACAAGTATTGTTCATCTTGTTTCTGAAAGGTGTCTCCCACTGGCCTGAAACTTACCCAACTAGGCTGGCTGGTCAGTAAACTCCAGAGACCTTCCTGTTTCTGCCCTCCCAACACTGCGGTTAAAAGTGTGTGCCACTGAGTCCAGCTTTCCCTCATGGGTCTTTGGGGTCATACTCAGGACCTCTGCCAGCACTTTTCTGACTGAGCCATCACCCTAGTATATTTGGGGGGGGAGTGCATATATGTATACATGTGTATACATGTGGAGACCAGAATATACTGTTGGGTGATACTCCTTGGCAAATTTGTATACATGTGTATACATGTGGAGGCCAGAATACACCCTGGGTGTCACTCCTTGGCATATATGTATACATGTATATACATGTGGAGGCCAGAATACACCCTGGGTGTCACTCCTTGGCATATATGTATACATGTGTATACATGTGGAGGCCAGAATACACCCTGGGTGTCACTCCTTGGCATATATGTACACATGTGTTTACATGTGGAGGCCAGAATACACCCTTGGGTGTCACTCCTCCTAAGGTGCCATGCTCCTTGTTTGTTTGTTTTTTAAATCTCTTTTGGTCTCTCTGAACCTGGAACTCAGCAGTTAGTCTAGGCTGGCTACACTTGAGCCTCAGGGAAACTGTCCACCTCTGGCTCCCCAGCACTGGGACTATAAGACACATCACTATGTATGTAAACATTTCTATGTGGGTGCTGGGGATCAAACTCAGGTCCTCATCTTCACGTGACACACACTTTACTGACTGAGCTATTGCCACAGTCCCTAGGAGTACTTTGCAATTGTTTATTGCTTTTATAAGTAGAAAACTTAAAAGGCCATTTCCACATGGTGCCTGAAAAGACACAACCTTTCCCCAGCACAAATCGACAAAGGCAGCTGTTGCCAGGTGACAGGGGGACAATTGGAGTTATGTTTCCGTTTCTTGGGGAACCAGGATTAATGGGACATACCCACAAGGCCACTTTCTAGGAACTGAGGAGTTAACCAAGTGTACAGCCCTAGGCTTCCTGGAAACTAAAGCACAGGCTGCTTTGACCTCTCGCTCAGACACGGAAGCCTTTGATTGAAATTGTGCCGTCAGGTCTGTCTCTCCACAAACAAATGGAATGTTCTGCACTGCCAGTATTTGGGGACACATAGTTTGCTTCTTATGAAGAAAAATAAACTGTATCATAACAACCAAGATATAATGGATAAAACATGCCTGGTGTTAGAGCCCCTCCCTCTGCCCAAGTCACAGAATTGAGGCAGGCAGGACTGGCAGGCAGCGATGGGAACCAGACATCAGCCAGCAGCCACAGGAAACCCAGGAGATCTGCCTGCAAGTACCCCCTCATCTGGTCATGTCAATGCCACTCCTGAAGAATATGCATGCCCTGTTTATTTCGATGGTGACAATGAATAGCGGCATCCAATTCCCCCTGTGCATCTAGTCATGACTCCAGTGAGTCAGGTTCACCCCTAGCCTAGGACATCCATAGGTCTTTGTTGACCGGAAAAGGAGATCACCCCCACACGTGATTCCCTACCCACTTCCTAGGACAACTGCTGCAGTGATGGCTTTCATAAAGTGTGGTCAGATCCCACACCTCAGCACTTGAGTGTCAGAGGAGTCGTGGGAGACACACAGCTGACTACCCTCCCCAAAAGCCTACTGAAGAGAAGTGCGCACAGGGTAATAAGTGAGTCTCTCAGTGAGACTCGCTTGTGTCTCTAGGGCTACAGCAGCCACATGATACACCTCTCTGCATGACCAGTGTTTAGTTGGTCCACAAGCACCTCACCAGCAAGCCAGGCTCTGTCTGGAAGGGAAGGCAGGCTGCTATTGAAGATGGGAGTGCCTACCAGAGTTCCCTT